TGAATGTGGTGTGGCTTCTGAATCGGAAAAATATAATTGGTCGTGAACTGGGTAGTTTTTATTTACTGTTTCTTTTAGTTTGCAAAGTGCATCTAAATTGCTGAGTTCTGATTCAGAGACTGCGTTTCTACGCTTTGAAAATCTCTTTCGTGTGATTTGTCTTTGATTACTTTAAATTTTTCTTTTTATTGTTTGTTGTTTTGTTCTAATATATCCGATTGTTTGTTTGTGCGGTGTAATTAAAAGATCGTATGCTTCGTTATTTGTTTCACAACTGTGTAGTACGATTGTTTGTTTATTTCCTAAATTGTTCAGTGACATAAGGTTTAGGATGAAGGGTGCAAGGTTGTTGTTAGTGAATTTAATATCCTAGACTGTTGGTCCTTACGATTTTTTGGTTAGCCTAACTTGGGTCTTTTATTCAGGGTTGAAGAGAAAATTATATATCGATTCCGAAGAATGATTGTTATTTTCTCGTGGCTATTCTAAGTTAAGGTGTTAACTTACTTAATCTTACTTAGGGGTAGTGATTGTGTTCAAGGGTTGGAGAATAGTAAATGGATCCACAAGGTTCAGGTATAATTAGATCACAGGTAGTTCGTTAGGTACTGTTTTAATACTTACTAAGATTTCAGATTTAGCCTGGGTCAGGTAAAAGGGGGGATTAAGTAAAGGATGAATAACCGAAGTTCTTCACTGCTTAGCCTAATTTGAATGGTTAGAGTGATTGAAAAATTTCTATTCGTCCTGACTGTTTGAAAGGTTTGGGTAGTGAATCGACGTTTGAGGTCGTAAGACACTTTATTTATTGGGTTGGGTAGAACAAAACAGGATAGGCCTTGATGATCAGGATATAAATTTTTATGGTACAAAATGGATTGAATTTAATTATTTAATGGAGATCCAAGGAAAGCCTTGATGATCTAATTTAAGATTGAACAAGTTGAAGTTAAATAGGGGTAAAAATTTGGATAAGCCTTTAAAGATCATTTAAATTTAATTGATAGAAAGGTTTAGTGTTATATGATGTTAGTGGTTAAATGATTGCTGTTATGTTTAGGTGATGAAGCTGGGGATACCAGGATGATTTATAAATACTAATAATTTATGATCATGTTATTAATTTTTATTTTTTATTTTCAATAAATATATTTTTCAGATATCTTTTTGAATTTTACTGCAGTTTTGAAGGAAACAATTTGAGGTATTTTTATAAATCGTTATTGTACAATAGTAAATTTAGTTTAGCGCCTGACATAATCATTGAAGATTTTTCCTCAAGGTTTCTATGTTTGCAAATGAAAATCTAAATTCATTGCTAGTAAAACTCTAAATATAAAAGTTTGTGTTGGCTTTTGCCGTACGACCATGAAACTTAATGGTAAGTTTCTTTGTAGTCGTAGATCGTCTCTCGTCCGAGGTCTTCTTCCAATACCGGGTAGTTCTCGTATTGTACGGAATAGCGGCTCTGATCTATTGAGTCGTAGAGATATTTCAATTAAGTTATTGACATATAACATTTTGAAAATGTTTTTGTCTATTTCTAATGTATCTGTTAGTTCAAAGCTAATTTGTTTTTTAAGGTCTTGTTCGAGACTTATGGTCGCACCAGATGAGTTAGGTTCGAGGTGTAACTCATAGAGTAATGTTTTGGCCGGATACGCTATCTAATTTTTGGCCGGATAGATTCGTGCAACTTCTTAGTCTAATACCGATCCTAGTCTTACTCTTATATCTACTAGTCTCAGGGTGTTTAATTAGTCTCTGCTAGGCTCAATAGATCTAGAGTATACTGGCTTATTGCGATTGCTAAAGGTCTCTTGGAGAGGTAACTAATTTCTAAGTTAAATTCAAATCTCTCTGGTGCTGAAATTACAAGTAATTTCAGCACTTACAAATAAGTGGGTTGTTAGTTAGATGGATCATGATTGGTTAATATTAAATATTTTATAGAGATAAAATATCTAATTTATAACCAATAATAAATATAGTTTATATCTGGTTCCAAATTACAACTGCAAAACAATTTTTTTTCTGTCTTCGGGCGCCCGAAAACATGCAACTGTAGCCTAATGGCGTCCTCCCAATCTATGAAAAATCTATTATTGTATACGAGTACATAAAAATCTTGTGATTATAATGGTAACATTTGGTTGGAAACAATTTACAATGATTATTATTATACTAATACTGCTGCGTCATCGTTCAACACTTTAGCCGACCTAAAGGCGTTGATATCGATGAAAAAAACATAAAACACCATCGAGTGGAATAGTACGGAGTGGATTAAATACTAACAGAAACTGAGTAGATTTCGAAAAATACTGTTTAACGGGAAAAACACATGGGCTGATAGACTATTTATAAATAGGTGAATTATTGCGTGCATAAGCAGTTCCCATAAATTGTGTGGACTTTGAAATGGTTCTTTCAGCATGAAAAACATTCAATAACTTCTGGTTGAACATCTATCGAAGTCTTAGATATGAAAATTTTGATAAAATTAAGAAAACGCAATAAAATTGTGATAAAGGTTTTTAAAACGCTGTCTACAATTCTAAATTGGGTGGACTGGGATAGGTTTTCGAACTCATTGAAGAGCTTCAACTGGATTCTGCCAGACCAACACCAATCACAGGGGGTGTTCTTGAAAAAATTTGATATGTAGATATAGATTAGGCACTATTTCAAACAGCCAATATTGTGAAGCAGGGGCGGAACTAGAAAATTTTCGGGGAAGGGAATATTTTCTAAAGTTTTGTCGTTCTTTTTTTCAAAATTAGAAACCAAAAAGACTCGCCGAGCTCTCCAAAAACACAAAAATACTCTATTTCTGTAGCGGATTTAGGGTGGGCGGACGCCCCCTTCTCAGGGATTCGACCCCCTGCCGACATAAAGGGTCCCCTCTTTGTACTATCTGATATTTGACTGACTGACATTGAAGTTTTTCTAAAGGTGCTTTTGGCGCCAATCTATACTAATTTTGAGGAGGGAACGCGCGCCGAAAAAAAAACGCAAAGTTTCGGTCGAAGTATTCTAAAAACTGCCTAAAAACCCTTATTTGGCCTTTTTTTTAAAAAAATTTGGTCATTTTAGGGTCTTTATAGTAATTTGGGCAAGCTCTGAAAATCAATTTGTTCGACCTAAAAAAAGTCGACAAAATTTTCAAAAATTTTTTGAAAATCCGCTTCACCCTCGAGAAACTCCTAGATCCGCGCCTGCCCTATTTTCAAAAAAAAAATCTGCGCCGGATGCAAATACTTAAACAAATTTGCTTCTATGCCAGGGCAAAATCCTGAAAAGTTTGACTGTCTTACAAGGTCGATGGTGTAGTGTTCATTTCAAAAATGGATAAATTTTTTGAAAAACGAAAAGTTTTTATTTGGAGATTTTTTTATCACCCCACACGCTGCGTAAAAGCTTACGTGATTTACTTTGCATAAAGAACGAAACTGCTCGTATCAAGCCAAAGCCTTGAAGGTTCCGACAGCCTTTTAGGATCTATGGAGCAGTAATAACGTGAAAAAAATCAATTGTAATCAGGCAAAACGATTTTTTTTAATTGAAATTTTTTGTGGAAAACATCTTACCACGCGCCATATAAAGTACAAAGTGAAAGATTTCTTTCCTAATATCAAATCAATTATGGCAAATAAGCTTCCTTCAACCAATTTGGAACAATTTTCAAGTCTGATTAAGTGTCCGCTAATACGTTAATAGCGCGAAATATCGCGTATTAATTGTCTCAAATTGGCCAAAATGGCAATATTTAAACACCCCATAACTGTACAATAAATGATCACTGGTAAAAAAAAATTAATTTTGAGCTCAGGACAAAAATACCATTCGGATGATAAAAAAAAGTCTGTCAAAAGTGGCTAGCTAAAAAATCGAAATTTGTCTGAAGAAAAATACCACCTCGAGCACAAATATTCCGTCACTTTATTCGAGAAGAATCCTATATACACCAAATAGCGTGCATCAATTCAACTTCGGAACGATTTCTAGAATGGATTTAATATTCACTTTTAACTTAAAAGCACGAAATATATCGCGCGTTATTTTTCCACAATGGGCCGAATTGGCAATTTTTGAACGCCATAACTTTATGAGATATGATCACAAGTGGAAATATTATTTTAAATTTGAACAAACGATAAAAAGACTTTTTTGAATAGTAGAAAGAAAATCTCGTAAAAAATTGCTAGTTAAAACATTACGAGGCCAAACTGTGCATTCTGTGCATTGTAAATGGATTCCGCAACAGGCCAAAATCAGATTTGTTGCGGAAACCGCAACATTTCTATTTTTCTTTGATGTTCTTTGCTGTTTTGGATTCCACAAACAATTACCTAAAATACTATGACGCTCAAAATTGCTCCAAAACTAGGCGAATTTGCGGAATCCACAACCGTATCTGCGGAATCCAGAACAGTTTGTGGAATCCACAAACGAATAATAAGACATGTGTTTAGTTACATTGAGCTGTTGCGGAATCCGCAACTGTAAGCGGAACCCACAAATTGTAAGTGCAGTCCGCAAATTGTAAGTGGGATCTGCATTTGTTTGCGGATTCCACTTATCTTTGCGAATTCCACTTACATTTTGCGGATTCCGTTTACATTTTGCGGAATCCACTTACAGTCCACTTTTCTCTAACTTTTTTTGGAAAATCGGAACAATGTTTGGGTCAAAATCCCGATTATGGGCCTGAGGCGCCTTTCGAAAAACTTAAGTGACTGACGGCCAGAAATGGATGTCCTAAATTAGTACTAAAGTGATCTTTTTGGTTGGTGGCGAGGGGTCGATTGCTTGAGGGGGTGATTTCTTGACCAGTGCAGAATTTTTTTTCTCAAAATTGCCCTAGAAAAAAATGATAGCAAGTTTTTTGAGCTAAGGTTGTTTATTTTTTTTTCATTTGCACACCATATTAAGCTGTTAAAATCTATTTAATCTCATTAAATTTAACATGCATAAAATAAAACTCATATACGGTATGGTATAATCAAAAGATAATAGTTGAAAGAGCTTCTACGGTTTAAAAGCACACGGTCACAGAAAATTGTAAAACTATACAAAACATAAGTCTATAGAGTTTGCATACTACATCGCTTAAAGTTTGAGGCAAACGAGCCGAAAAAACTGAGCAGCCGAAATGACATCAAAGCAGAAAAGTGAAACAACGGGTGACGTGGACGGTTTCAAGTTCCGACCGGGTCGAGGTCAAGTGGAGCGTCCCGAAGACATGTTCCACCGGGAGATAGAAGATACTGTGGGGGCGTTGGCGGGGACTTCAAAGAGCAGCGGAAGTGGAGCGGCAAAAGGAGCCGGCGCTAAAAAGACTTCAGTGGAAGAAAGACGAGACAGACGGTAAAACAATTTTATTGCAGTTGTAACCAAAAAATGCAAATTGGCAAATTCGGTACCTTTATATCGAAAGGCTTATATCTCTGAACAAAAACCACGCGTCTACCTATAATGATAACGCATAATTTTTATGCAGCTGAAAATTTTTAAACTTACGTGGGGGTAGAAAAAAGCCGAAAATTGTAATTGTTCTATTTTTTTTTTTCTATAAACTCGAAGGTTAAATATTTAAGGTCAACTAAGCTATGGCTATCTTACAAGAGCTCACCTTGTAAATTGCAGTGCGTCTGCGATTTGAACCCGCAATCATATGATTGCTGAGCACCATCACTACCGTTGCGCCACAACGCCTTTGTTTTGTGTTGCATTGTAGGTTCAGTGCGATGAAGAAGAGTGGGGACTACATGAACATCTTCGTGTGTTTCCAGTGCAGGGACTCCCTCTTCGGCAAGAGATTCGTCAAGATAGAGCGGAAGCCGTGGTGTGTCACGTGCTACAATAAAAACTTCACCACCATGTACGTATAGATTGCAGAAAAAACTCATTGTTAGTTTCTGAGAAGGAGGAGACTTAGCTATGTCTCCGTTTCTCAATCGACAGGTCGGATGTTCCAAGCCGACCATGATCCGTGTTCGTTGCCTGTAGCTCTGAAATGTTGTCAAAAACTAGTCTCTCATTCTTCCCTCTTGCGGTCTCATTTTTTAAACAAACATAAAATTTTGAAGTTGAGAATAGAATGGTTTGATATAGGTTTTTTTTTACTGCTGTTTTGCAAGTTTGGGCGCTTTTAGCAATTTTTTAACTAGAAAATGAATTTTCTCTTCTCTGAGAAGAAGAAGGAAGATAGCTTGGCTCCAGTTGAAGCAGTGTCATGAATAGTGGGTCTTCAGCCCCACCGAATTTTGATTGATAAGATGAGTATAACTACTAGACTATCGCTGGGGGGGGGGGGGGGGGGGGGCTCTCTCTTTCTCGCTCCATCTTCGGCACACTAATGCTGTAGTGTTCAAGTGCATATTTTTGTTGCAGCTGCACTCTGTGTACGGGTCAGATCAACGTGGACTCTGAGGACATTCTGTACGGGAACTCACACTGGCACCTGTCCTGTTTCAAGTGCTCCTCATGCGAGGTGTCCCTCTTCCAGAAGACATTCGGGGCCACCCAGGACAACATCCTTTTCTGCTCCGACTGCTACTTCCGCATGCACAAGAAGTGGTGTGTACACTGCGACAAGCCATTCAAAGGGGGTACGTAATGGCCACTGCAGTTAGCTATAGTTATTACTACGTATAATGATAATATATTATTTCCAAGCTATATAAACTAATAACTGAAAACGCTTAATTGGCGCTTTACAATTGAGCTTTAAAACATTCAGAAAATTAGTTTGCGAAAGTATGATCTCACAATCCTCGTAAATTTTCTTAAATTCCATATTTAAGCTCTTCTTTGTCCACCCCAACATGCCAATAATTGTACAAATAAGGCATCATTTTTACAATGTAATCATTAATTTTAGGAAGTTGTATATGAAAACAAAAGTGTTTTTGTAATTTTTTGAAGCTGCCATTTGCCAATTATCATGGCAATTGGAGTACATGAAAAAAAAACACTGAAGACCCCATTTTTGTTGGTTGAAATTTGGTTCTGAATCACTGAATTCTGTTGTTTTTTTTCTGTAGGACAGAAGATGGTGACATTTCGGGAGGAGTTGTACCACAAGGAGTGTTTTGCCTGCAGCTCCTGCCACACCCTCCTCCAGGTGGACCAGTTCAGGTGTCACGGGGACGACAGATACTGCGGGCCATGCTTCGCCAAGGTCAGCTCGGTTCATCTTCAGTTCGAATTAGATGAAGAAGATTCAATGCTCATTTCCTATTTAGGATTAATCAAATATATGGGAAGATCCACCAGTGCGATAGTCTCACTGCAAATTTAGTCCGAAGTCTCCTTGTCATTGAGTTAAACGTTCGTCGTTTGAGTTTGGATTGAAACTATAAGACAGGTGGAAATTCCCTCAAGTTTGTTGCTTTTGTCCCTCAAAACTCAAAACCTTTCCCAATTTTCCAAAACTGCTAATTTGGCACATTTGCCCGCGAAGATTTAACAGAGCTCGGACAATCAACTGGTTTCCCATCAGTTTTTTGCTTGATTGAAAAGAACCGAGCAGTAATTAGAATGCCTCGATAAAATTGATCATGAGTTTCTGCGTTAAGCCGTTCGAAATTATTATCATGTTTTCAAAAAAACCTTTCAGTGAGACATCTTTTGCACGCGTTATGTTGCGAGCATCTCAACAAAAAATGCTCTAGTCCCAAACCTTTCCGTGTTGTGTTCCTACATTTTCGATTTTTGGGATCCGTAAAATAATATGGGATTTTGCTTTGTTCAGTTTATCAATTTTATTCAAAAAGTTTTGAAATTGGTTGGAGCTACCAATTAATGATCTAATTCTTTTTCATAAGTCTTCGTGTATAGTTTTTTGCCTTGATTGTAATCGGCTCAATTTCGATTATTCAGCGCTTTCTTTGAAATAGTGTGAAATATTTTCTTCTATCCTATCTTGTTTCAAACTTTATTGAAATAAAACTTTGATTTTGGACTATATAAGTAATTTCATGTTTGTTTTTTAAATTTGTCTCGCCATGAACTGATCAACGTCTAAACCAGACGCGTATCTAGGATTTTCTCGAGGGGGGGTCGGATTTTCAAAAATAAAAATTCAGAAAAAGTTTGTCGACCTTTTTTTTAGGTCGACCAAATTGATCTTCTGAGTTCTCCCCAAACACTATAAAGATCGTAATTTGACCAAATTTTCTGCGCCGCAGGCAAGTTTTAAAGAAGGCCAAAAAAGGCGTTTAGACAGTTTTTGGAAAATTTCGACCAAAAAATTGCGTTTTTTCGGCGCGCTCCCCCCTCAAAATTAGTATACATTGGCGCCAAAGGCGCCTTTAGACAAAATTTAAGGTCAGTCAGCCAAAAAGAGATGTCTCAAAATAGTACAAAAGGGGACCCTTTGGGTCGGCAGGGGGTCGAATCCCTGAGGGGGGCGTCCGGCCTGTGGAGGTATACACATTGAAGGTATGTGTATGTCTAAGTTATCGTAAAGAGAGCTTAAAAAGAACAACTTAATTTCTCTAACAACACTAGCGCCAATGGCAACACGCATAGTCAGCAACTCTATACGCAGCAAAACTAGGTATAATCAGTTTATAAAACAGTTTAATTAGAGAGCAATAAAAGAGTAGTAAATCAACTTCTAAATATATGGAAAATTAACCGCCTGTTGAGATCTGATCTCGTAATATGACATCGCGCGATATCGCGTGACATCGTGCGATATCTAATCATGTTCTTATTTTGAACCAAAAAGTGGGAAATGACTTCTCTATAAAGTGAGAGGTAATTTCTCCGAAACTTAACACTTGATACCATACCAATATAATACATAATGCGTAATAATCATATGTTAATTAATAAATTTCGCCACACGCCAAACCGCCCCCCCCTAAATCCGTTACTGCCCGGGTTGACCAAAAATGCTTATCATACAATTCTCATAAATGTGAAATTTCTTTTCATGCAATTCCATACGTACAGAAAATTGTATAAAAACTCTATGATATACATTTTCCCATAAATGGAAACTGTATGATAGGGATTATCTGCATAAACCAAAAAGTTGGTTTTTGTTGCTACATTTATTTTCTGACAAATTTTCGGCTGTGTTTGCAACCGAGCACAAGTGACAAAGACCGTGGTTACTCAAAGCAACAAAGGTTGGACGGTCTTGCATTTACAATGCATGAAAAACGACCTGAATTGTCTTCGAGCTGTCTTTCACAAATTATTTAACAAACTTTTAATTTTTGGCGAATTTTTTCAATGATGATTATTTTAAATTTTTAAATTTTCAAATTATCAGACATTGATCAAGGCATACAAAAACACGCCATACAAAAGAAATAGGAATTTTCAGTGTTTTTGAAAAAAAAAATTTGAGTGAAAAGAAAAAAAGCCATTTTTATCGTATCTAGGACTACGTTATGCACACAAAAAAAATTAATTTTGCCTGCAAAAATTTTTATCGGAAAATGTTTGTTTGCGTACAAAATTAGATTTGCGGTTGAAAAAAAAACAAAAAAAAATTTTTGGGGAAAGTTTTCAAAATTACTTCTGAAATTTTTTTTGTCGTATTTGGAAATTGTATGGTAAGCATTTTTTTCAAAAAAAAATTTCAAATCAGTTTTTTTTGTCACCACTCTGTTCAACTGCTCTCAAAAAGCCGCAGAAATGGTTGAATTTTTTTTCTTTTGTTTTTTGAAAATGTATGAAAATTGTATGGTAAGCATTTTCTCCTTACACTTGATGTATGGAATTGTATGATAATGATTTTTGCTGTATGGAATTGTATGATAAGCTTTTTCGGTGTATGGAGGTCAACCCGGGTGGTCTAAACCTTGATTTTTCTCGCGCGTTCTTGGAATATATATAATCTTTTCTCTAGTTTCAAAAAGGCTGTAAGCTTCTCAGACTAAGTGTATGAAATTGTATGATTAGCATTTTCGGTTTATGGAGGTCATCCCGGGATGAGAGTCTTTTCGAAGTGTGTACAACTGTAGACTGACTGACTTAATACATCAAATTGAAAAATTGAATTCAAACCATTTTCCAGACCGCTATTAGATAACTGTTCCAACTGTGACGCTAAGCTGGAGAAAGGTAATTAGGTCGCAGCATTAAAGCAATAGTTTCTTTCATTCTTTCAGGCGAGCATTTTAATAAGGCGACAAACCTTGAAGCGCATTATGCCTCTCGTGTCGCGTGTTGACGTATTGTAGGGAAGCATTTCAAGCGCTCGCTATTTGCCATTGGCGCGTTTGAGTTTGGCGTTTCAATTTTTTCATTGTTTTGTGGTCTGGTAACAAAAGTATCAGAAAAACTTCGGCATGGTAAAGAGCATATCCTCTTTGAACTTATCGAACAAAGTCTGAAAACAAAACGATTAGCAATTTGTCTGATTAGGATTTTTCATATAACTCTATTTTTTTAAAACTTTTGTTCGTGATCCATATTCATATAACAAACAAGACTGCTCGTATCAGGGCGAAGCTTTGAATGTTCCGACTGCCTTTTAAGGTCTAGGGAGCAGTAATAACATGAACAAATTAAATGTAATAAAAAAGATTTTTTTTTATGAATTTCAGGTTTTTTTTTGAAATCATCCCCCCCACACGCCATATAAAGCACAAAGTGATAGATTTCGCTCCTAGTAACAAATCAGTTCTGGCAAATAAACTTCCTTCAACCAATTTGGAACGGTTTCTACGACGGATTAAAATGTCGCGCGATAATTTCCAAAATTGGCCACAACGTCAATTTTTAAACCCCTTTAACATTACGAAAAATCATCACCGTTGAAAAATCTTTTTAAATTTAAGTTCAGGACAACAAAATTTTTTGAATGATATCAAAAAATTCCGTCAATATTGGCTAGTTAAAAAGTCGAATTTTGTCTGAAGAAAGAAACCACCCCGAGCACAAACATTCCGTTTTTTTTCGTTACGAAAGCCCGAACGATAATCAAAAAACCAGCTGATTTGAACAAATTGTAAGAAAATAAGACTGCTCGTATATCAGCGCAAAGCCCTGAATGTTTCTGAAAGCCATTTGAATTTTTTTTTGTTTGAGTGATTGACAACATAATAGAGAAAAAAAGAAAAACTTTTTTCTTTTTTCACTTTATCCCCCCCACACGGTATGTAAATTACTACGGGTTTTTTTAGCGCCTCGTATTGTGATAATACGATTAAATGTCTGGCCTCAAAAAAATTTTGAAGGCATTAGTTTGCTTCTTACGCGTGTTATAAGAACGCAATTTATCGCATTTTAATTAGCCCAAATTAGTCAAATTTGCATTTTAAAACGCCCGTAATTATACGCTTGTTAACAAGTCGGAAAATGACTGAATAAAATACCACACCGAGCATAAATATTCCGAACTTTCTTCAAAAGTCGGAACAATTAACCATTTTTTTCAAAATTTCAAAGTGGTCATTGAAAACTTTTTGGTTGGCAAAAATTACTAAAGTTTTAAAAAATTTATCACATAAATTTCAGTCTGCCTCTTTACGGTGCGAAATAATTATTGTAAACACAACACTGCTGGCATTGGCTGGAACTCTGGAGGTTTTCGGTTGCCTACGAAGCAATTTTTAGTTCAAATAAAAAAACTAATTTCATTGAGGCTAAACTCGATCAAAACTGCTTTAAAAATTAGTTTTAATTTAAAGAAGTCTGTCGCCCGTTTATACCTCAAACTATGGCCAATTGACATTTTTCAAACCCCATAGATACACAACAAATCATTGAAATCATTGCATAATAAACAGTTTTTTAACTACGGTAATGGTACAAAATCTTTCTAATGGTACTAAATATTTTGTGAAAACGTGGTTGTGTTAAATCAAACTTTGTCTGTCGGGCAACTAGCGCGACGCGTTATTTCTATCGAGGCCTTATTGTTTCGACTTTCGTAACGAAAGTAACGGAATATTTGTGCTCGGGCTGGGGTTTTTTTTCTTCAGACAAGTTTCGACTTTTTAACTAGCCATTTTTGACGGATATTTTTTTATCATTCAAAAGATATAGTAGTCCTGAGCTTAAATTTGAATTTTTTTCGATCATTTTTCGTTAAGTTATGGGGGTTCAAAGATTGCCATTTTGGCCAATTTGGGACAATTAACGCGTAAGCAGATATTTAATCCGTCGTAGAAATTGTTCCAAATTGGTTGAAGGAAGTTTCTTTGCTATAAATGATTTTTTTTAATAGGAGCGACTTTGTACTTTAAATGGCGCGTGGGGGATGAAAATTCTCAAATTCTAAAAGATTTTTTCCTTTCATATTATACATTTTTGTTCTATGTTATTACTGCTCCATAAACCTTAAAAGGCAGTCGGAACCTTCAGGGCTTCGCCCTGATACGAGCAGTCTTGTTATTTTACTACACAAAACACTGAATATAAAGTCGTTTTTTTTTCATGAATTGATTATACTTAAAGCAGGTAATCATTTTTAGGAATAATCTAGATTTAACTAAATAATATATGGCCCAATGATAATAGGTTCCAATCAGCAGTTTAATTTTGCTAACAGACCAAGTTTCCATGTGGATTTCCTGAAAGTTCATTCTTATTGGAGTCATTAGTTTTGGTTTCAAGTGGCAAAGATGCAGGCAAAAATTTAGCAGCTGATTTCAGTTTCAAAAAACTAGTAGCGGCTACAGCTCCCAAAGCAGGAACTAATCCGATCCACGGAACAACTAGACTCCACCCAACACTTCCGCCTTCTGAATCAGAGAGGAATTCAGTCATAAGTGAGTTCGCGGTCAACAGCAAAACTGCATTTGCAGAAGTCGCACCGATCGCAAAGAGTTCGATTATTGTGTGTTCGGGTTTCAAAATCATGAATACGAGAACTCCAATGGTTGCTACAGCGAATACGTAGTCAATAATGAAGAAAGCTTGTGCAGCTTTTATTTTTGATAAATTAGGCGTGGCTTCTTTAGGTAACTTGGGCGTTGCTCCAAAATAGTAATTATTGTGCTTTATTGCTTCGAGCGTTTGCAATAATTGTGAGGTCTTCTGATGAGAGTTACAGCCATTGAACTGGGCTAAATATAAGCTTGCTGCAGTGTAACGAGTTTTTATGCAACACTTCCAAAGTCCGCAATTAATCGATATTTTCCCGTCATTTTTAAAAGCAGCGTAATTAGCGTTTGCCAAAAGAGCCATAAGCAGACTAGCACTCACTGACGCAATGGCCACAAAAACGCAGATGGTTCGAAGTCCAACCATTATAACTTCAAAATGCTAGATTTTGTTAATTCTGAAAACGCGGCACACTTTACTTGTTTTTGTTTTTTGTTTTTTTTTGACCGAAATAAATAAGGCAGAGGAATATCTACAGCTTTAGGCTTAAAATAAAATCTGTAAAACTTTGTCAAAAACAATGAGCAGTCTTCAAACAAAGAGATTCCATGACAACTAAATTCTTTGTATAGACTGGATTCTTATTGTTGTTCTGTCAAACTAGTTGCAGTTAGAAATAAATAATAAGTGATTGCAATTTTATTGTGAGAAAATGTTTCAGAGAAAAATTGTTATGATAAGAGATGTAGCAATGATTTGCCTGTTTTGTTCTTTCACGTGCATTTTGTCTGTCTCGTCCGGAATTGGGTATCTTCTATTAGCCCAGTTTCATTTTTTGCTTCGTTTGGGGTCAAAATACTCTAAACAGTGATTAAGATACAGAAACTACTTTTTTACAGAGAGAAAACTAATTTTCCTAATTTCTACAGTCGCGAGACGGAGAAATTGCGACTTTTTGTGTCCAACTATTAAAACGAACCAAGTGTTCCTTCAATTGGCTCCAGGTCTACTTTGCTTTGAATAATTAACTGGATCAAATTAAAATTTTTCTATTTCAAGTATATCGGCACGAACACGATCTCAAGAGGCTGCAAATCAAAACCATATCTCAGAAAATTATTTTTAAAAAAACACGACAAAACACTGAAAAATTTCCTATCAATAATTAAATGACGTGTAATTTGAAATGATTAATCAATTGAAAATAAACTGTAGGTGGCATAAAAAGTATCTGATTCCACGTACTTTGTTACCAAAAATTGGTTTTAATCAGCCAAACTCTATCCGCGAAATTCAAGATTTTCAATTTTATTTTGACAGTTGATAGCCTAAAAGTTTTCTCAGATATAGATAAACTTGGATCGATAGCCCTAATGATTGTTTCTGGGCAGAGATGCTTTTATTTGATTAATATAAGGTGCTATTTAAAAAAAAGTTTTTCGGAAGACAATTTTTTTTTTCAGTCTTTCGTAACGAAAGTAACGATATATGTGCTCGAGGTGGTTTGTTTCAGATATATTTCGACTTTTTAACAAGCCAATTTTGACGTAATCTGCTAAAACGAAAATGTCTGCTAGGTCAAAAAAAACCATAACAAAAGTGCTCGTATCAGGGCAAAGCCCTGAATGTTCCGACTGCCTTTTACGGTCTATAGCGCAGTATTACATGAAAAACTAAATGTTATAAAAAATGAAGAAAAAAAAAGAAAAAAAACGATATATAAAGTACAAATTGATAGATTTCGCGCCTAGTAACAAATCAATCATGGCCCATAAGCTTCCTTCAACCAATTTGGAACGATTACTGACACGGATCAAATCTCCGCTTACGCGTTATTAGCGCGATTTAAAGGGCGCTTTAATAGTCCCAAATTGGCCAAAATGGCAATCTTTAAACCTCCATAGTTTTACGAACAACAATAACAGGTAAAAAACTTTTTCAAATTTAAGTTCAGGGTAACAATACCTTTTGAAAGATTTTAAAATTTTCCGTCAAAAATGGCTAGTTAAAAATTCGAAATTTGTCTGAAGAAGAAAAAACCACCCCGAGCACAAGTACTCCGTTACTTCCGTTTCGAAAGTCGGAAAAAAATGTTCGAGCTGTTATGAAAAAAAAAATCTATTGCTACATTTTAACTAATTTTTCATACATAACCCCGATGAAATTTTTAATTTCGGTCGCGGAAATTGGTCTGGGAAAAAACCAACTCAAGCACATCTATTCCGTGTCATCGAAAGTCGGAACAACAAGCTGTTAATAACCAGCCTTGGGAAATTAAATCTTCAACCCATCTTCAACGTTGCTAGAAATAATCGCATTTTTTAAAAACGTTTTACAAATATATAGCTGTGGTCGGAACTCTCTGCACTAATTGCACATGAACCGGGTAGCGGGTGAATGAGTTTGCTTTATTATGTTATAGATATTTGCCCCCCACTGTAGCGAGTGTGGGGACATTATAGCGGAGCAGAAAGAGGGGGTGCAGCACAAGGGGAGAGACTATCACAGGGGGTGTCTGAAGTGTGCCACTTGTGAGGGTCAACTGGCCGACCAGAGATACTACAACTTCAAAGGTCAGCTGCTATTTCACCATCTAATCGAACTGAGAGTTTATCAATTTTTACTACCTTTCTAACTATGGTGATAGTTATACTCACAACTTAACGACACTATTTATTTTTTTGTCAAATTAAGAATAAAAAAACAATTGGAAAAATTGTGGATGCTTATAATGTTTTCTGTTTGAGCATGCTGATGCTATAAGAGCGTTGCTGAAATTACTTTTACGAAATTCACAAAAGTTTTTGAGCTATTAAGGCTTGGTTATTCAAATCTAACTGATTTGTGCGCTATTCCAATAACACTCTGATAACTTTCCATGTAGTTTTTAATTGACATTCAAGGCGACGTCAAAGCCGACTGATAGGTTCTCTGCGATTCGCAGGAACCACAATTACATTCGGTTATTTTTTGCAGACCAGTTGCACTGCTACTCGTGTTTCGAGAGTGAGCGAGTGATGGGTAAGAAGTGTGTTCAGTGTGGACTCAGTGTGTCAGACAGCATAGCCACCCCCACCCCAACTACAACAGGCGAACATGAGGGGGAGGGGGAGGAGTTGAGGAGTCGCTTCTACTCGGTGGACTATGACTCATTCTGGCACCCCAGGTGCTTCAACTGCACAAGGTCATACATGCCAGATATCTATCAACACATCTTCACTCCAGATATTCCACATAAAGCTGAAAATTCACCAAAACTCAAGACATCCGCTCAACGGAAATCACTGAACCATCTAAGCAAAACTTATTTCAACGCAGCTACTCTGAATTAGGGGAGAATTTTCTCGAAGGGTGGCGGATTTTCAAAATGTTTCAAAAATTTTGTCGATTTTTTTTAGGTCGGCCTAATTGATTTTCCGAGCGCTCCTACAACACTATAAAGACCCTAGTTTGAGCAAAAATTTCCAAAAAACTGGTTTTTAATCAAAATTTTTGAAAAAACAGGTTAAAAATGCCGTCTTTAGGCACTTTTTGGGAAATTTTGACCAAAAAAACTTCTTTTTTTTTGGCGCGCGCTCCCGTTCAAAATTATTATATATTGGCACCGAAGGCGATTTAGACAAAAATAGGGTTGTTCGGCCTAAAATGGATGTCATAAAATATTACCAACGGGGACCCTTTGGTATGTGAGGGGATCGAATCCCTGAGAGGGGGAGCGTCCGCCCACCGCCCAAAATCCGCCCTTGCTCTGAATACAACTTTTTTTTAGAAATCTCTATGTAGATTAAAAATAAATGCTAGTTTATTACCGTTAATTTTTTCCATTATTTAATTCCAAAATTTTGTAGAAGGGTGTTTTTGTCAAGCAAAGTCACGTAAGACCTGAATTAAACGTCAGATGAGCTCGCAATGTTGCGTCATGAAAACTTACTCTATCTTTGCAATCATTTCATTCTCAGTGTCTCGGGAACAACTGGGTTGATTTTTTTAGAGAAACTTAACCCTTCACCCAACTCTCCACTCTTCTTCTCATTTTGAAAAAAAAATTCTGCAAAATCTTTTTTTTTTCCGAATTTTTGATTTTTGTATTTTTTGTATAACACTTTTTTGCGATAAAACTTTTTTGGCAATGATAACTGGGATCGGTCTTTTCGATTGCATTTTTTGTATAGCATTTATGTGTGAATTGGTATGTTTCAGGTGTCTGCAGCCCCTGGACCCTGACGAATCCTTCGTATGTCCCCCCTCGAACATAGAGGGGGCGGAGGGGGATCATGCTTCCCCGCAGGCCTACTGCAAGCCATGTGGATTGGAGAGTATTGTAGATGTACAGGCACTGGTCTTTGCCAAGTTTGAAGTTCCGGACTTGGAATGAAGATATCCAGTCAAGTGAAGATCAAAATGTTCTGCTATAGGACCCAAATATGTTCTGCTGTTCTGTTATATGTACTATGGTCCAGATATGCGTTCTGTTATATCACACAAAAACATAAAATAGTTACTAATGATAACTATTTTTACGGCTTTATTTGAGTTTAACCATTCAGAATAAGTATTATGATCAAACCTGAAAAAAAACCCGAAACGCAAAACATAGGCCATATAACAGAAAAGACCCGATGAACACTAGACTGACAGGCGGGTCTGAAAATTTCCATAATATATCCAGGACTGATTTTATACTAAAAGATAACATGGATAATCATACCTTGAAAGTTAGAAAAAAATTATTAAGGAGAAAGAGAATAACTTTTGTACAATCATAATTTACATGTGTATAAATGCTTAAGCACCCGTAATCAGATTGACGATACGCGAATTTTTTTCATGTGGTTTCTACAGAATCATTTCTCACAAACTAAATAGTTGATGAGACCCAAGCTTAATTCAGGTATCATGCATAAATGAAATCTAGATTTAGCAGCGGATTTAAGGGAAGCGTCCCCTTACTTCAGATTTTCAACGTGACCACCCAAAGAGTCCGCCTTAGGTACTTTCCAGGCTCTTTTCCAGTGGTCCCCCACCTTTCAATTTAAATTTTGAAAACCTATTTTAACATTGTCCTTATGCAATGAAATTTGACCTGGTGAACAAACTAACAATTGTGAACAGATTTGTTCTAATAATTTACATTGTAACATTGCGCGTTTACCATAATAACACGTACAACAACTAAAAAAAATCAAAAAATTGAAAAGTGGGGGAAGTTGCTATGTTGCGACTTTGCTTGACCCAAATTTGCTTTGTTGCTTTGTCGGCGTAGTTGTCAGATCACTTGTGCTGTAAGCAAATTTTGCTTGTGCTGATGATTTTGCTTGTGCTGTAGGCAAATTTGATTGCCGTTGCAAGCGCAAGTGTTGTTCATTTTAGTTTCAGCGGATAATTTTTTTGGCTCAACTGGTGTCTACTCAAAGATTTTCGGCCTATTCGCAAAACCAAGGATTTTTTTCGTCCTGTAATCAACGTTCATTTTAGTTGAAAACGAAATATTGTTCATGGTAGTTTCAAGCGGGAGTTTTTAAAGAAATCTTATTTTTTTTCGGCTCAAATTGGGTCTGTTTAGAAATGTTTGGTTTTGTTTGCTCTTGGTAAGTCTTGCTAAAATTCTAGTTTGATATTCAGATGTTTCACTTGTTTGCCTAAACTGAACTTAAATCGAGACATACGAAAATTTAATTTTTGGTAGATTTAGTTTTTATATCATCTTTTCTTTTTTTTTTACTTTTAGTATATTTTTATGTTAGTGCTGTATGGCATGAGATGCAAGGTTCCGCTCTGTCTCTGTGTAGAACGCTAAATTCTCATTGTTTTGCAAAACTTTTTAAGCGTAAATTTTAACTGTTGATTTTCTTAAATAAGAAGTAAGTGGTTGAGATTTATCCGAACTTTCATAATAACTATAGGTAGAACACAAAAAAGTTTCAAAAAAATACTGTTTATGAATGCGAAACTTTGAAAACTTTTTGGCCGATCTTTTTTTCAACAAATTTTTGTTGATGTTGAAGCTGTTTTTTTTGGATCCCAAATTTCATTCAAATTTTGATTCTTCCACTTCATCAAAAAAATGTTTTTCACTGTCTACAAATTTGACTTGGTTGCCGTTTCGTTTAATTAAAAAAATTTGCTGTAAGCGTGTTCAAAATTTTTGATATTTGAACAAACAGAGACAAACAAGCCGTTAAAAATTGATTCATTCAACAAAATTGTGGGTTGTTTGCTACAGTTTGTAAGAGGAATTATGTAGAACTTACACTTATATTAAAACACAATTGCCACGGGAATTTGTTTATCGAGATCTGCAATATCAAAAAAAAACACATGGAATTTCAAGCACGAAGACTTTTAAAACGCTGTTTTCATATTTCAAACAAATATTTTTGAAGTTTTTTTGTTGAGCCTCATTTTCAATTTGGCTTTTACAAACGACGCATCATTTTTCTGAAAAGAAATTATGATCTTGACGCGTGAAGTTTTCTTGAGGCAAAGGTTGCTCATATCTCAAACGATATCAAATTTCGGCTGTTCAATCTCTGCGTTGTGTATTGTTCACAAGTTGTGTTGCAAATGTGTTAACTTTTTTTATTTGGTTAAGTTTTTAAATCATTGTTTCAAAAAAAAAATAGTGAAAATAGCGCAAAATAAAAATTGCTTACAAAACTGTAATTCGAAAAAATGAAATGTATTTGTACGAATAAACAAGCAATTTTCTTCGAATTTTTAAAAATTGCCGTTGAAATTGTAGCTGGAGCACTTGCAGAAAAAGGAGCCAGAATTATTCAATCACATGGATGTTTTTTAATTGAACTTTTGCTCGTATTTTTGTTATGATTAATAGATACTGAGCTCTTTTGATATTAAGACAAAACACACTAAAGTCAATTCAAGAAATTCCCAATGTAAAAGTAGTTTTCAGCACCTCAGAAAAAAAACTAATTTTCCTAGTCAAAGGTGTAATAGGTCGAACAAGTTGGGGAAAACTTATAATGTTAGCTGCCTTGCTCTAAAAACAACTGAAATGGTCTGAAAATGAACACCAATTGATGTTCATCATAGCAAGACTGCTTTTATCAGGGCGAAGCCCTTAATGTTCCGACTGCTTTTTAAGGTCTATGGAGCAGTACTAACATGAAAAATGAAATGTAAGAAAATAAAATGAGTTTTTTTTTCAAATTTGAGATTTTTTCTGAAATTTATCACCCCACACGCTATATAAACTACCTAGTGATAAATTTTGCTCCTAGTAACAAATCAATTATGGCAAATCAGCTTCCTTGAACCAATTTGGAGCTACTTTTAAGATTAAAACTCCGCTTACGCGTTAATAGCGAGAAATATATCGCGCGTTAATTGTCCCAAATTGGTCAAAATGGCCAAAATGGCAATCTTTAAACCCTCATAACTTTACGAAAAATGATCACAGGTAAAATATCCTTTCAAATTTAAGCTCAGGACAACAATACTTTTTGAATGATATAAAAAAATTCCGTCAAAAATGGCTAGTTAAAAAGTCGAAATTTGTCTAAAGAAAAAAAACCCACCCCGAGCACAAATATTCCGTTACTTTCGTATCGAAAGTCGGAACAATAAATCGATATTTCTTCAGATATTCTACCATATGAAAATTGATTTACGCTAGCCCATTTAGATACGAAAAAAATTTTAGCTACATTTTCGTATCAAACTAGTCGATTTAATATAAATGAAAATAAATTTGTTTTAGGTCTTTGCTACATTATCTAAATAAAATCGATTGCAATCCATTTCTTGTCAATACGGTACAGTAAAGAAAGCAGTGTACATATGGCTTAGTACATGACTTAGAATGCGATTAAAATACTTTCATTATGATTTTATACGCAGTAAAATACAAACACTGAGGGTCTGTCCTCATGTTTCATCAGATTTCTATTAATTTGACAAAAACAATCAAGTGGCCATTTTTTGCAGCAGCCCAAAATTTATAATTCAGAAGACTGCATATGAGTTGTATATCTTGTCCCTAGTGAAAAACTCTAATCAAAGAACTATTCTTCTAATCAAATTCCATTTTATCGACAACGAGAAGATTTTCACACAAAAAGCAATTCAGATGGCGACCAAAAATAAATCATAAAAATTAACAAATACCCAATGCGCCGCTTAACAAGAATCTGATTCTGGCAACTCATTTAATGTAGAAAAAATTATGAGTGGATGGCTTCTTAGCTAGCCTATAAGTTGCATCTATTACTATTACGCTAGAAAAGATACGAATTAATGTATCGCGCGTTAATTGTCCCAAACTGGCCAAAATGGCAATCTTTAAGCACCCATAACTTTACAAAAAATGATCACAAGTGAAATATTTTTTCATATTTAAGCTCAAGACAACAATAGCTTTCGGATGATATAGAAATTTCCGTCAAAAATGGCTAGTTTGAAAGTCGAATTTTGTCTAAAGAAAAAAAAAAACCACCTCGAGCACAATTATTCCGTTACTTTCGTTATGAAAGTCGGAACAATAACTTATAGAAATTGATCACAGCTGAATACTTTTTCAAATTTAAGCTCAAGACAACAATAGTTGTTGAATGACATAAAAAATTTTTGTCAAAATTGGCTAGTTAAAAAGTCGAAATTCATCTGAAAAAAAAACACCCAGAGCACAAATATTCCATTACTTTCGTTATGAAAGTCGGAACAATGAAGATCTTTTTGTACCAAGTAGTTTAGATTTGAATTTCAAAGTGCTATAGATAGATTTGTCTTCAAAGGATCTCAACAAGGATTGCTTCCGTATCTTTCATCTGACAACTATCTCAAGTTTATTCTTCTATCTACGTTTTCATAACTTTAGTTTTGAAAGCAAACTTTTCTAAGCAATTTATAGCACGTATGAATGCATACTATAAAACTGATAAATTTTATCAGTTTGCTACTTTTCTTCGATTTTCTTGTGCCGATTTCAATGATTGCGGGATTGCAAAAAACCATTTTAATTATGATTGTCAAAATTGAATGATTTAGAGCTAAACTGCTTTGAGTTTCCAGAGCAGTTCATAACTTTACGCCTACAAATGAAACGGAAATCCAACTATTAATCAGTAGATCACCGGTACTTTGCACTAACTACCGTCACGTAATTTGTTCCGACTTTCGAAGAAAACGGAATATTTATGCTTGGCGTGGTTTTTTTATTCAGTCACTTTTTGGCGATCAAATTAATAGTTTTTTAACAAAAATTTTTTATGCCCATTGATGAAATTGACTCCCTAAAGTCAATTTTAAAAACATGTTTAATCTCCGATTAGTTTTTGCAAAGTTTTGGGAGTTCGAAAATAGCCGATTTGGCCATGGTCTAGTTTATGCGCACTTTGAAGATTTTTTCCATAATCTTGAAAGAGTAACGAGAATTATTCATATGTGGCGAATTATTCCGCACAATAAAATTGTTCCAATTTGATTTGAGGCTAGATAATTGGTCGTATTAATTTCGCATTACTCTATGAATTAATAGTTTTTCAATTATTTCTTTTCCCAAAAATCTATTCGATAGGAATTTAGGGGCCGTCGGAACATTCATGGATTTGACCTAATATACGAGCAGTCTTGTTGTAAAAATGTATTCCTTAGCATACAGAAAAAGATAGAAAATTAATTGTTTGAAAATAGATAAACGAATATTATCTTTAACCTTATCTCGTTTTCCACATC